TATAGCATAAGTGATGTTGAGCTCCAGCCTATTTATCGTGACTTCTGCCCTGTGGAAGGTGGTGACGTGTAGTTATGTGATCACCTCGGGGTTTTGGCCGGTCCCCTTCCCTGCCCCCAGTGCAGAGCCACACAGACTGCACACAGCACCATCAGGTACTGTGGGCAAGCAAGACTACCAAGCCCTCCACCGTCACTCCAGAGCACACCTGTCTTTCCATTGTTGGCAGTGTGAAAAGAATTTATTTCAAATCTGCTTAAGAATGTGGTAAAACTCAAGTTTCTCAAAAGGTAATACAGGAAGTTAAGCCAACTCCCAAAGACCAGAACAGTGTTCGCAATTCAAAAAATACAAACGCTTGTGGATACCAATACAAAAATTAGAAAAACGTACTTTTCCTTCCCACTGCCCACCCCTCCGTGTTTAAAGTGGAACACGAACAGCCACAGAACCAAGGGCTGCCACAGAATACCAACCACGAAGACAAAAAGTGACAGGAGAGAGGAGAAAGAAGGGTGGGACAAGGGGGCTCTGTCAACAGCCAAATCAAGGACACACAGCTTTTTGCTTCTTGTTAAATTCCTTTGCCAACATTACACAAACACCTCTCATGCTAATACACAGCTCAGCGCGAAGGCGATGATCTATATCATGCATTTACGTGTTCTGCCTGCTGGCACCTGCTCCCTTTCACTGCTGAGTCCGGGCTCAGGGGTGAGGGGTGGGAAGGCCATCCCAGGCCGCCCAGTGTGTGTCCCCACAGCCACAGTGGCCTCATGGCAACTCAATCCTGCCTCCGGCCTCTGCTCAGAGCCTCCCTCAAGGCCGCAGGCCCCTCCCCAGAGCTGGGCTGGCAGCCAGCCCCTTGCTGAGACTTCCCAGCCCATTTTTCATGAAGAAGTTAAGGACCTCCCCCCTTGGGCCAAGAAGTCCAGCAGCTGTCACTTGTCTGAAAGTGACCTGTGTCCGGTCCCTGTTCTTAGGTTCAGCCCGCTAGTATCTCACTACACTTGTACCTGTGGCTTCTATGGCCCATCCCGCTGCAGAGCTAGGGAGCAAATGGCGCCAGCCAGCGCAAAGGTGATGGAGTCAGAAGAGGCATCAGGAGGTTCTGCACACCATGCCCCAGGGAGGGGACATAGGTAGGATGCCGGCAGGCTGTCCAACCACCGCTCCAGACAGAGCCAGTAACCGGGTCCTCGCGGGAAAGTAGTCTGCGACGCTGCTTTGCTCCACAAGGTCCAGCAGCAGGGAGCTGCTGGGTGGGAAGACATTCGGTCAGAAGATGTCGGAAATCTCCACACAGGTTTGTGGTTGGGGAAGGTGTACCACGAGCCTGGGCTTTAGCGATGACAGAAGGACGGTCTTCGACGGCAGTGGAGACGGGGCGATCACAGGTAGGTACCGAGGCACAGGAGGTGTAGATTTTCTTACACATGCGCTCAACCAGGATCGAAGCCAGATTGGAGGAGAGCGGACTGCACTGAGTATCTGACCCGTGCGCCTCACTTTTTTGTTTTTGGTGTTGGTTTTAGTCCTGAGGCTTGAACTTGGCCTGGGCTTTGTTTGCTCATCTAGCACTCTACCTACCATTTGAGACACAGCTCCACTTCAGGCTTTTTAGTGGTTAATTGGAGGTGAGAGTCTCATGAACTTTGCTGCCTGGGCTGACTTCAAACCAGGATCCTCAGATCTCAGTTTCCCGAACAACTAGGATTACAGGCGTGAGCCACTGGCCCCTGTCTCAGCCTCATCTCACCCATATGGGTCCCTCACCTAGACTGCTGGATACCAGAATGTCTACAGGGACAACCAGCCACTTCTAGCTCACTTTCCACTCCAGGGTGAGCACATACTTCAGGTATCTTCTCACAATATCCCATTTTATTCCTTTAATCATTTAAAGATCACAAACCCATTAAGAAGTTCCTGTGAAGGTGCAGTAAAACATGGCCAAGGAAACAGAACAGGGGCTTTTGTTACCAGCCATGGAGGTGGAGACTGGCCAGACTCTTCAGTGAGCACAACTGGCAGCCCCACAGTGGTTTCTGTTGGTGATTTATAGTAGCCCCACCGAAGACCTGTGGAGAATCCTGCTCTCGGGTTATCATGAAGGCCGACGGCCTTGGGACAGGCTTTCCGTGTGACACAGGTGTGGGTACCAGCATTACTCTGAATGTCAACACAATGAACTCAAGCTATCACCTACAGTCCTTGACTTGGGCTGCCTCAGGGGACACTGGACTAAGTCTTTTAAGTGTTTGTAGTTACCACAACTAGTAGGGTTGCTACTAGCATCTAGTGTTGCTAAGGACCCTGCCCCCAAAGTCCAGAGAGACAGGAAGCCCCGCCTCCCCAGCACTTGGAAGGGGCCTTGCTGCGGGGTGGTGTTGCATGGCTGGTGGCTGGCCCTGCCACCAAACTCCGGCCTCCTGGGAGGACTTAGCCTTCCACTCCAAGGTAGAATTAAGGCTTAGATGCAAAGTCCCTGGGAAAAATGCACATAGATTCTGCATTTGGGTCCCAACCCAGAAGTGCTCTGGCTGGGCCAGGCACCGCAAGGGCAGGATACGGTGACCATGGCACTGTCTCCCAAGGGTGCGCCACAGTGCTGGGTCGTGGGGCAGCTAAGGGTGCTGTCAAGACACATCCAGGGCTGAAGGCACAGCCTGGACTGGCATCAATGCCTAGAGGTTGGGTGTTTTGTCCTCCAAAAGTAGGATCCTTCCCTCCCTGCAATATGGGAGGCGGGGTGCCGGGGGTGGGTGTGCTGGGTACGTCCAGTGGAGGAGTATATAGAGAGGCCAGCGTGGCTTGTGACAAAGAACAAACTCAGCACTATTACAGAGGTGCTGTTCACAACTCAACCAACCTGACATTTTAACTTCTTAAAATTCCTTTCTCACAGAAAGTGCTTGAGAGATTTAAACCACATCCTTCCTCAGCTAGCCTAGCTGAAGCATCCTGTGCTGCCATTTGTGTACCAGACGCTGTCCTATCGCCGACCAGGCGGGAACCGGACTCCCAGGCCAGGGGCCTTCCCGCCACCAGGAGGGGAATTTCCTTCTTTGCTTTTTTGAATCCTTAGACCCACAGGTGCGTGGCCCTGCCCTTCTCTTATCCCTGAACGGTGAGGGCAGGGAGGGGCTGTGTCCCTTCCCTTTGTATTGCTTCTGGGGAGACGAGGGCAGGGGGCTGCCCAGGCCCTACCCCCCTCCATGCTGCTGGTGGTGGGAGGGGCTGTTCCTCTGAGCTACAGGGAACTTCTTGGGGAAGCCTTCTAGGGGGGCATGTCTGGTTTATGCCTGTGGATCTGAACCCCAGAATTGAAAAAAGAAAATAAGAGTAAGAGGGAAAGAATGGAATACCACCCACCAGGGCGGGAATGCCTCCTCCTCTAAGGTGTTACAGACCTGGGCTGCTCCTGCTCCCCAGATGAGCGGGCAGGCTGGTGCCCAGGGCCTCCACTCCACTACTCATCCACGTCGCCAGGATGGCTGGACTTCTCTAAAAGAGAACATGGTATTCCCAGGCCACCAGCATCTGGGCCTAGCTCCCCTGCCCCAGGGAGGCCATGGTATGTCAGTCTTCAGGCTTCAGGACTCTGGACACAAGAAACAGCCAGAAACTTTTCAGCAGGAGGAGAAAGGACCCAAGGCAAGACCAGGGCATCCACAAAGCAGATGGCTCCTGGGCCTGGCATGGAGGCCAGGTCGAAGTGCGGAGCAGCCCCTGGACAGCAGCCTTCCCGGGCGGTTCTGCAGAGATGGTGAGCCTCGAGCGAGAGCTTTGAGGTAGGACTGTTGAATCTGCTGGCCCAGTAGCAGATGCACAGGAAACAGGTACAGGGTGTGAAAGGAGGCAATTGAGGAGGTGCAGCAGGTGCCAGTGTGCAGGTGCAGCCAAGAAAAATCCAACCAGTCCAGCAAATGGACAAGCTTCCCCTCAACATCAAGTTGGATAGTTGAGGGCACAGATTCCGGAAAAGGAGAGGAGGGTGACCAGCTGGTGCAGATGGAGAGATGGAGGGGAGAGTGCTGAAGGCCCCTAAAGTGTCCTGGAAGAAGTGGCCCCTCAGGACACAGCACGGGGCTCTGTGCTGCAGAGACAGGAGTAGAGCACTGCCCCGACCCTGGAGAGCCAGCCCACCCTGCCTCCCCTCCCAGCCACGCCCTCACCCCGCCAGTCACAAGCCGACAAGGGGGGTGTCCTGAGGCCAAGCAGGGGCAATGTGGGGTTCCTAGGGTTTCCAGCTTCTGTGCTGAGCCATCTGAGGGGTCTAGCTCAGAGAAGTGGCTCAGACTCAGTTTCCCGTTAAGTCCTTGGCCAGCCAGTTCCAGCCAGAGGAGCCACATATCACAGTTGTTCAAATCCTAGTGTTTCATTGGTAGAATCTAACAGTGGGTGAAATTTAGCAGACCGCTGCACATGCCTGTATGTGTCAGAAAGTGTGAGAAAGGAGAGAATGTGCAGGGCTGGTTGATTAGTAAAGGCCCGAAGGAAGCCCTTTTAAAAGGTTCTCGGCAGTTCAATGAGACAGGCAGAAATTAAACACAAATAGTTGATATCTCCCTCCTTCAGTACAGAACCAGGCGTGCCAGTGCACAGACGTAGCAAAGGCTCTAGGACCAAATGCCACAGACAGCTTCCAGCAGAGATGCCAGCCGGGGCTCAGGAGGGTGACACCGCAGCTCCCCAACTCCATCCCCCAAGGCCAGTCTCAAAATCTTCCTCAGCAGACAGAGGCAGGAGCAGGTGTGGGAAAGCAGAGGTTTTCTCCAGAGCCGCTCAGGAAGGAATGGGGTGGCAACTGTGAAATGCACCGTGCGTGTACCGCTGACCGTGGCGGACAACCCCCGCCCCTTGGCTGAGGGGCCCCCTCCACGCGTCAGCCGTTCCGCTGCAGCGGGGCTCACCCGCATGGACTGTGGGGCCTCTGGGCTCGGCGAGTGTGGTGCGGCTCCACGGTGCGCCTGGGCGCTGGGCGGTGGGAGGCCTGGCTAGTTGCCTGCTGGCTGTGGCTGCCCCAGGCTTGTGGGCACGTCCAGGCCTGTGTGCAGAGTGACCTGGAAGAGAAGTGAGGGGCTCAGGTAGCACGCCATGGTGGAGCCCTTGCCCCACATGCAGACAGACCTCACTTCCACTGCACACACGTGAGCAGCGGGGGGAGGGGAGGGGGAGGAGAGGCCCGTGGAGGCCACCCAATGCCAGCACAGGCCATGCCTGTGCCCTCTGCCTGCATGAAGACGGCGCCTGCCCCACCCTGGTTGGCCCTAGGCTGGTGATCAGCTGCCAGTGGTCTCCCCGGGTGGCAGTGACAGCAGCGTCCCATGGGATTGTTCAGGCTCCGTTCCGCCACAGTAGTGGTGGCCCAGTCCCTGCAGCCCTGCATCCGTGGCACTGTCTCCCCACAGCCACAGCCTGGCCTGTGCCGCGGCTGTCTGCTGACCCTGAGGACGGAGTGGCCACACTGGAGTGCCTCCAGCGCTGTCAGCAAATGACCAGGTGACTGCTGAGGACTTGCCATTCTGCAGGGAGTGGGCACCAGACAGGGGCTGCCCTGCACAGAACAGGAGGACTCTCCTACAGACAGACGCTCTCCTCCCCCTTGCACCCCTGGCCTCTCATCTTTCTGTGGTCAGCCTTCGCTGAGGACCGGCCCAGCGCCCAGCACTCCCTCCTGTCCCGGGCTGCAGGGAGTGCCCGAGGCGGGAGGAGGCAGGTGGGCAGGCAGAGGGGACAGCCGGACCAGCTGGGGCTGGGGGGGGATGGGGCCCAGGTACCTGCACGTTGCGGTTGAGACTGAGGGCGGGCATGAAGACCCCGTCCACGTGGCTGAAGGCCGTGGGGCCCTGCTGCTGCCCATTGATGAAGAAGGTCAGGCTGTGCTTGTTCAGGTCCAGCAGCACGCCCACGGTGGCTCCTTTGCACACGCCGCCTTCCGTCCTGGCAAGGGAAGACCCGGAACAGCCTGTCACCAGCCCCAGCCAGCACCGCAGGAAGGGCTCTGGACCACTGTGGCTAACACCAGCACTAGGGGGTTGGCAGTGCCTCCCGCTGGTGTTGCAGATGTCGCAGCACGCTTCCCACCTATTAGCAGGCCTCGGGAGAGGGTGCCTGGGAGAAGGGGCTGCTGTACTCCCCGCCAATAGGGCTGACGGTGAATCCCACCCACAGTGCACCACTGAGCAATTAGCACCAGTGCAGAAGGCACTCAAAGAACTAACTTGGCCCCATTCTGGGGGAGGGTAGCGAAGGCTTCCCCCCCCTTCGCGGGCCTCCCCAGAACCAGCATAGGGGCTCCCAAGAGGGCTGGCGTGGGAGTCAGGCCCTCCACGTTGAGCTCAGATGGGGCGGGCTTGGCAGACATTGAGAACCATGTCGTCTGTCATGAAAGGAGCACTAAGTGGAGAACACCCCTGGCTGATCTGGCCTTTGACTCCATGGGCTGCATCCAGACTTCCCTTTCCAATAGGTGAGCTCCTGCTTAGCATTAACCTTGCTGGGCCTTTAGAGAACAATTCCTCGTTAGGGCTGGGCTTTTGCTGGGGCAGACGGCCATGACAAGTGTGGAGGCCAACCGTCCCCTAAGAGCCCTAGTCCTGGTCCTGATGCACTGCTAGGGCTATTCCGGTATTGTCCACCAGATGGCAGTGCACAGCCCTGGGTCCCAGGTCCCGTGCTTTCAGTGAGCAACTGGCAAACCTCCTAGGCAGGGTGCTCCACACACGCGCCCACACCTGCTACGCTCTCTGCTGGCTTCCACATCCCTCCAGCTTCCTCTGAGGCCCCAAATGACTGCGGGGCCAGCAAAGGCCCTCACTCTGGGGTTTAGGAATTGCCCACACAGGCAGATTCTGGCTAATTCCTGATAGCACCAAAGATTCTCTCAGTGGCTGGGCCTCTCTCTCTTCTTCACTTTCCCCTCCATTCTTCCTCCTTTTGACTTCTTTAGATGTGAAAGGCATTTTTTATAGTGGTAGTGTGGTGTTTCTTTTGTGCTCATTGTTGTGTGTGTTTGAAGTCAGGGCTTGGGTGCTGTCCCTGAGCTACTGTTTTTCAAGGCTAGAGCTCTACTACTTGAGCCACAGCTCTACTTCCGGCTCTTTTTGGATAGTTTATTAGAAGTAAGAGTTTCATGGACTTTCTGCCCAGGCTGACTTTGAACCACAATCCTCAGATCTCAGCCTCCTGAGTAGCTGCTAGGATTATGGGTATGAGCCATTGGCTTTGTGTGTCTGTCTTTTGAGTGCTGAAGCTTGAATTCATAGCCTCGTACTTGCTAACTACTCTATTACTTGAGCCATTCCACCAGCCCATATGTTAGTTAGTACAGTACAGTACTGGCGCTTGAACTCAAAGCCTCACACTCCTGCTCAGGCATGGCTGGCACTCTACTTTTGAGCAATGTCCCCCAGCTCTGGCTTCTTGCTTTCTAACTGGAGATAACTGTCTGCCAGCTGCCTTTAAATCACAACCCTGACATCTTAGTCTCCTGAACAGTTAAGACTACAGGCATATACTCTCATCCCCTGACATGTTTCTTTGTAAAATTAAAGTGTATTAATTGTTCAAAATACTAGCAGGTTTCATGATGACATTTTCCTATTGTAGTCTGGTCTTGGTACCTGTCTCCTAATTTCCAAGGCAACACAGTGGTAGCTCAGTGGTAGCACAGTGGTAGCTCAGTGGTAATGCAGTGGTAGCACAATGGTAGCTCAGTGGTAACACAGTGGTAGTGCAGTGGTAGTGCAGTGGTAGCTCAGTGGTAGCACAGTGGTAGCTCAGTGGTAGCACAGTGGTAGCACAGTGGTAGCACAGTGGTAGCACAGTGGTAGCTCAGTGGTAGCTCAGTGGTAATGCAGTGGTAGCTCAGTGGTAGTGCAGTGGTAGTGCAGTGGTAGTGCAGTGGTAGCGCAGTGGTATCTCAGTGGTAGCTCAGTGGTAGCACAGTGGTAGTGCAGTGGTAGTGCAGTGGTAGCTCAGTGGTAGCTCAGTGGTAGCACAGTGGTAGCTCAGTGGTAGCACAGTGGTAGTGCAGTGGTAGCTCAGTGGTAGCTCAGTGGTAGCACAGTGGTAGTGCAGTGGTAGTGCAGTGGTAGCTCAGTGGTAGCTCAGTGGTAGCACAGTGGTAGTGCAGTGGTAGTGCAGTGGTAGCTCAGTGGTAGTGCAGTGGTAGTGCAGTGGTAGCTCAGTGGTAGCTCAGTGGTAGCACAGTGGTAGCTCAGTGGTAGTGCAGTGGTAGCTCAGTGGTAGTGCAGTGGTAGCTCAGTGGTAATGCAGTGGTAGCTCAGTGGTAACACAGTGGTAGTTCAGTGGTAGTGCAGTGGTAACACAGTGGTAGCTCAGTGGTAGTGCAGTGGTAGCTCAGTGGTAATGCAGTGGTAGCTCAGTGGTAGCACAGTGGTAGCTCAGTGGTAGCTCAGTGGTAGCGCAGTGGTAGTGGTAGCTCAGTGGTAGCTCAGTGGTAGCACAGTGGTAGCACAGTGGTAGCTCAGTGGTAGTGCAGTGGTAGCACAGTGGTAGCTCAGTGGTAATGCAGTGGTAGCTCAGTGGTAGCTCAGTGGTAGCTCAGTGGTAGCACAGTGGTAGCTCAGTGGTAGCTCAGTGGTAGTGCAGTGGTAGCTCAGTGGTAGCTCAGTGGTAGCACAGTGGTAGCTCAGTGGTAATGCAGTGGTAGCACAATGGTAGCACAATGGTAGTTCAGTGGTAATGCAGTGGTAGCACAATGGTAGTTCAGTGGTAGTGCAGTGGTAGTGCAGTGGTAGCTCAGTGGTAGCTCAGTGGAGTGCAGTGGTAGCTCAGTGGTAGTGCAGTGGTAGCTCAGTGGTAGCTCAGTGGTGGTAGCTCAGTGGTAGCTCAGTGGTAGCTCAGTGGTAGCTCAGTGGTAGTGCAGTGGTAGCTCAGTGGTAGCTCAGTGGTAGCTCAGTGGTAGCTCAGTGGTAGCTCAGTGGTAGCTCAGTGGTAGCTCAGTGGTAGCTCAGTGGTAGCACAGTGGTAGCTCAGTGGTAGCACAGTGGTAGCTCAGTGGTAGTGCAGTGGTAGTTCAGTGGTAGCTCAGTGGTAGCTCAGTGGTAGTGCAGTGGTAGCTCAGTGGTAGCTCAGTGGTAGCACAGTGGTAGCTCAGTGGTAGCACAGTGGTAGCTCAGTGGTAGCTCAGTGGTAGTGCAGTGGTAGCTCAGTGGTAGCACAGTGGTAGCTCAGTGGTAGCACAGTGGTAGCTCAGTGGTAGTGCAGTGGTAGCGCAGTGGTAGTGCAGTGGTAGCTCAGTGGTAGCACAGTGGTAGCTCAGTGGTAACACAGTGGTAGCTCAGTGGTAGTGCAGTGGTAGCGCAGTGGTAGCACAGTGGTAGCGCAGTGGTAGTGCAGTGGTAGCTCAGTGGTAGCTCAGTGGTAGCTCAGTGGTAGCTCAGTGGTAGCACAGTGGTAGCACAGTGGTAGCTCAGTGGTAACACAGTGGTAGCTCAGTGGTAGTGCAGTGGTAGCGCAGTGGTAGTGCAGTGGTAGCTCAGTGGTAGCTCAGTGGTAGTGCTGTTGTGAGGACTGTGCAGGCTGGGGGCCAGGTGCTTACTCTGGCAACAGGAAAGAGCACTCGACACACACCCCTGGCTACACTCCTGTGCACTCCCGTGCCCAAGTGTCAATTTGGCTTAAGGTACAGAGCGATGGGTGTGCATTTGGCTCTGCAGTGGGCTGGGGGTGGGCAGGAGGGTGAGCACCCATCCAGTCTGCAGCCCTGGGTCAGCCAGCTCAATCTGTGGCATCTGCTCAGCCCTAATCTCCTGGCCTTCAGCGACTGCTCAGTTTATATTGCCAGCTCTCCCTGCAGCTCGGGAGCGGTGGGGTGTGTGTGTGGAGGGGGGGGTTCTGCCTCTTCTCTGGGTTGCTGGAGTCACCATCAGAAGGGCTAATGGGACCTGAGGACCCTCAGGCGAGTTCCTGGTCAGGCTGGCTTGGTTTCCCTCATCTTCCTCAAGGAAGACTGGCTGCAACAGAAGCAGGTTGGCCTGCTGCTGGACACCCCAGAGACACTGTGTTGTTCCCCTGGCTCCTTACTCCTGGGGCGGACATGGGCGGGGCTGGTGCTCTGCAGTGACTCACAGAGTGGGTGGTGGACCAGAAGGTATCCCAGAACCGGAAGGAAAGCTGTGAGCTGAGAAACCCTGCAGAGCACAATCGTGTGGCCTGCTAAGTGATGGAAGAGCTATGCATGCTTATTCGGGCCGCAGGCAAGGGGTCACTTCTCCCTGAAGTTGAAGCCACCGGGTGCGGAGACCACAGTGCCCAGCAGACCCTCCCCCGTCCTGATGCCTGGCTTGGGGCAGTAGGACAGTGGTCCCAGGACCCTCATTCCTAAACAGGGGCAGGAGCGCAGGGGTGGGGCGGGCGCACCTGTTGGTGTGGGAGTTGCAGTGCATGAACCAGCTCCGGTTGTTGTCCACGTACATGGCCCAGGCCTTGTCGTCCTTGCCCAGCATCATGTCCTTGGCCACGCTGGCCCGGGCCACGCCAAAGGCGGGATCAGGGTGGTTGTCGTAGCGGTCCACGTGCAGCTCCCAGTAGTGCACGCCCTTGGAGAAGGCGGCTGTGCCCAGCACCACACGGTCATCATAGCTGCTGCAGGTGGCCGTCTGGTTGTCATTGGACAAAATGATGTCTCGGTGCCCAGAGTTGGGGTCAAAGGTGAACCAGGCCACTGCACAGGAGATGAAAGAAGCAGGGTCAACAAACAGAATAGCCAGTGGCTCCCAGTGAGCTCAGGGACACAGACTGACTCGCTTCCATCGGAGAGTGAGCAGCCTTTCTCTGGATTGTGCGTACACGCACGTGCACACATGCACATGTTTCCTGCTCTATTTCTCCTGTTTCCTGTTCTCCAACTAAGCCTTGCAAAAGAGCCCTGCACTCAGACCCCCAGCCTCAGCCTCTGGCTGCCTTCAAATGCTGCCAACTCTGTCAGGCAGAGGAGGAAGTTGGCCTTAGTAACCAACCTCAGGGGTGGAAGGTTGAGGCAGAGGTAAGCAATGTGTCAGTTCTGGAGACTGGGCTCTCTCTGACAGCCCACGGGGTGGCAGCACCTGTCCTGGTACCCAGACCCCAAGGGAGTGGGAAGTGCTGCTTCCTCTGAAATGATTGCTAGAGGCAGGAACGCAGGGGGCCATCACGGAAGCAGTCTCACCATCTGAGGTCTGCAGGACCACTGTCTTGCTGTACGGCCCGGCGCCGGCGGTGTTGAAAGCTTTTACTCTGGCGTTGTAGGTGCTGTTGAAGTGGAGCCCGTCAATGGTACACAGGGTCTCCTTGCCCACATACACTTCCTGCAAGAGCCACAGCCACCATCAGCCCCTCAAACTTGTTTTTTTTTTTTTTTGTCACTTGTGGGGCATGGACTTCAGGTCTGGGCACTGTCTCTGAGCTTTTTTGCTCAAGGCTAGTGCTACTACTTTTAGCCACAGTACCAATTCCAAGTTTCTGGTGGTTAACTCAAGATACGAGTCGCATGGCTTTTCCTGCCCAGGCAGGCTTTGAGCCTTGATCCTCAGATCTCAGCCTCCTGAGTAGCAAGCCAACAACGTCTGGCTGCCTGTTACTCTTCAGCCCAACCCTGAGGTCCAGCTTTCTCATGGCCACCACACCTAGCAAGGTATGACTTAATGGCTTTGGGGTTAGTGAGTCTGGTTGTCTAGAAAGGGGGTGATCTGCAAGGCCTGGGGATTCACACACATCTGGGCTTTGCTGCTTAGTACCCCAGGCCACTCTGCTGAGTCCCAGGTCCTGGCAGAAGGGAAAGGGAGACGAGGCCCTCAGCCTCACAGGCTCCTTGTCATCCTGCCCACAGCCCACCAACGGCACAAGTTCATTGCCATCCAGTCCAGCACCCAGTTTTCATGAGTCTTCTATTAATCCAGCACTTTGCAAGGTTCTTGAGGGCCCGTGAGAACCAGTGCTGCAGGAACACACGCTGCCCTTCTCCAGACACCCCGAGGCTGCCCCTGAGCCAGCACACTCCCAGTGGAAAGCCTCTCAGCACATTGAGGGTGTGGTGGGCCACAAGACCACAGAAGACATGGGCAGGCAGGGAGGTTGTAGAGGGGTGGGGATGTGGAAGGGTGGGGATGTAGAGGTTGTGGAGGGGTGTGGATGGGGAGATCGTGGAGGGGTGGAGATGTGGAGGTCGTGGAGGGGTGGGGATAGCGTTGGTCATGGAGCCCAGGCAGATGGGGTAGTGATGGTAACGGAGCCTGGGAGGATGGGGTAGTGATGGTCATGGAGCCTGGGTGCTTGTAAAGATCATAGAAAGTGTGACCACAACAAGTCTTCTAGACCCCTGCTGGGCAGGAGAACAGGTAGGCGGCACCTCTGAGCTGGCCCTGCCAGGCACCTGTCAGCCCTCATAGGACAACCTCCTCCAGTCCTGGCCCAGTCCCTGCATGTGCCTGAGCTCCCCAGCCTGCAGCTCACCCGGAACTGGCCCCCGTCGCCATCATCCAGCTCCAGGATGTAGCCGTCGGCGGGGCTGTGGGCGAAGGGTGGCGTCCTCCAGGCCAGCGTGACGCTGTTGTTTCGCGTGCAGCATTTCTCCAGCTGCAGCAGGGGCCCGGGGGGCACTGCGTCAGGAATGGCTCCGTCAGCGTGGGTGTCCACTGACAGCTCCAGCCCCACCCTGCAAGACGCTTCTGTTCCTCCCCTGTGACCACCCCAGGCTTGAGGTGCCCGGGCTGGGGAGCAGGTGCCTTGCTCAGCCCCGGGAGGGGACACTGCAAAGCAAGTGTCTGGAGAAGAAAGTCCTCCTATGGTCTGCCTGTGGAGAGCCATGGCACTCAGCCAGGGAGGAGCAAAGCACTCCTTTCGCCCCGTTAAGAGTGGGGTGCTGGGTTTAAGTGTCCTCCAAAGGTGATGAAGGCTTGGTGCCCTGGTCCAGGGACTAGGTCCAGGCAAGGGAGGTGGGGCTGCTTCGCTCAAGGGAGGTTACACTGAGGGGAATGTGGGGGGGGGTCTGTCTTGGATCTGGTCACACCTGAAACTTTCCAGCTGGCTGCCATCTATTTTTTAAGGGGAGCCGGCAAGGGGGTCTAGCACAAGTGGCCACGTTCAGTCTGGCTGCCAAGCAGGAGCCGACAGCAAGGTCACACTAGGTCACACGAGGTCTGCCCCGATCAAGGCTGTGCTCTGGGGCGGTGGCATGGCCAAGACTCTCCACCTCTCTCTGGATCCCCTGAGCCTTCTCCCTCAGGGCCTCTACTTCCAGGCCTCCTCCTCCTGCTACCTCCACTCGGGTGCCAGGCCCCTCCCGCTGCGTGGCACGGTGTCTCACACCTCTGGTCTTTCCCAACCTTCCAGGTGCAACTGCAGGAATTGTTTCCCTTAGTTTACAAGTGGCCACACCCCCTGCGGGCCCAGGCTGCCCGGCATGGTCTCTGGAAGTCTCACAGGTCCCCCCACCTCTCAGGCTCCCAGGTGAGGAGCAGAGCAGCCTCTCCTTCTGGACATCACTTGCCAACTTCGCCTCTGGCTGAGCTGTGCCAGCTGTACTGAACTCTTTGCTGTGTGCCACCCGGCTGTCCTCCACCCCACCTTCCAGCCGGCCTCCTCCAGTTGGACCCCTCCCCCCGGGCTGTCCTGCTGCTGTGCTGCTCTGCACTCGGTCCCTTCTGCTCTTGCCTCTGAACTTCTTGACCTTCCTTGGGACACAAAAAAAACCTTACTCCAGCCTCTATCCTTCTGCCTCCTGAAATGCTCCTCTACCTCTCTACCTCTGCCTCGCCTCCCCCCACCCCCACCTGCCTTGCCTCCTTGCTATTCTCAGACAATACATTATGGGTGGGTCTGCAAATGGTCTACTTTCTCCTGAAGTCTACAGAGGACCCTCCAGGAGTGCTCCCCACTGTCACAGAGGACCCTCCGGGAGTGCTCCCCAATGTCACGGGACCCTCCAGGAGTGCTCCCCACTGTCACAGAGGACCCTCCGGGAGTGCTCCCCACTGTCACAG